GTGAGTTTGGGAATCTGTCAAGCAGGGAATAGCTGAGAACCTGCCACAAGGCTAAAGGCAGGCTGGCATTTTGTGAGATGTGAGCATTAGCTGCTATGTTTCTGTCAATGTAAGAAACGTTCAACCTGTGAATAATGTTTGTTAGTCTATTTGAGCCAAACTGTCGACAATTGCCGGGGAGCAGAATCTCAATGGATTGAGATAATGCTCCAGAGAATGGCAGTTTTCCACCTTATTTTATGCATTACAATCAAAAGAGGAGACATAAGTGGGTTACATGAAATCCACTGGCGATAGATTAGGGAGGTGGGAGAAAGCAAAGTAGCGAAACCTAGGTTTGGATGAAAAGTAAAATGATGGACACACACTTCTTTTACTTAAGTGGGTGCAGGATAGTTAACAGTCAACAATTAACTCAATACAGTGATGGGATTTGTGGTCTCCACAGAGCAGTGCCTGTGCTTCCAGGGTCCAGAAAAAGGAAAATTACTTTAGTATCCCAAAGATACGTTATTGTAGATACAAAGACCATAGACAGGCTTAATTAAGGTGAAAATTGACCTTTGTCAGGGAAGATACCAGCATAGGACATGACTACCCACTGTAAACTTTTAGACAGTTTTCATTTCAGACTACCCTTTGGTTACTTTAGGTCTCTGAGTTTGCAAGGCAGCCAGGCAGGTCTCCCCTGAGCTTATTGGTTTCATGCGCGGCCCCTTTTCACCCACTTTTCCTCAGGATGTGAACCCTACCAGGGTAGGAGCTGGTGTGTCAGTGAAAATCTGCATCATTTCCTGGGCATAAATTTTCATATATGGTTTAAAATCTATTTGCTAACATGTGATTACTTTAAAAATGGGGTCCATGTAAGAGATTAGCAACAACTAATAATATAACAATTATAACAATATACTGTAATAAGTTACATGAATGTGAAAAAATGGGGTCTATGGCTTTTAGTAATGGGAACCTGCTTTGAGCTGGATTCCCTCTCTCTTAACCAAATTCTTACTCTGTGGAGGCTCCTGATGCACCTCCCAAGGGGGGTAGTGGTGAGGCCTGAAGGCTCGCACATGGGGCAGTGGAAGCATTTTGGAGCTTGCATTCCAGCCCTGGGTGGGTCTTCACCTCTTCAGCCTGATGCCTCAGAGGGGACCAGGGACCCACAGGGCTGCTAAGCATCCTCCCGTTCCCATCAGCAGCAAGCGGCCCTCTGGTCCTCACAGTCTCAGTGGAAATTGACAAATTAACGATGACCACAGTCACACCTGAAAACATCACAGGACCAGAGACCACTCAGGACTTAATATGAAATCACTCTGCATTGACCAAGGACAGCTTCTTTTATTAAATCTGCTGTGAGCCACTTAAGTGGAGATGCTCAGGAATGGAGTGAAGTCATCACAGCGGTGGCAGTGCTGTGTCTGGCGGAGCAGGCCGCCAGGAAAGCAAGGGTGCCACAGCGTTACAAGGGATCTGGCGACACAGGTGCGGTTTATTTTTACACAGACCTCTTTCTTCAAATAAATACACCTGAATAACAGAGAAAAAACGATACAGTAGCCTTATAAATGAGGAAGGAACCAACATACCTCCAAAAGCAGAAGGTTCAGCATGGTCTATGCATTACCAACATGCTTTGGATGGTCTCGCCTTGAGTGGCAAAGGAGCCAGCACACGTGTCCCATGTGCCATGGACAGCGTCCAGGGAGTTAAACAGCTGCAAACTCTCCACTTCTGTGGGAGTGATGGCAGCTAAGTGGTACCATGTGAAACATTTTTAAGAACTAGTTGTATATTAAGCTTGACTATTCATCGCTTTAATTTTAAACCTGCATACACTGAACATATTACATGTATTTAAAAATCAAGTTATTTCCTCTGTATTATAGAGGCAATTTTTCCCTTTCTTGACTTTTCATAATAGCTAGTCATTTTCCTAGGAAAATTCCATGTGTTGAGTATGAAGAGAGAAGCAAATCTCATTTTAATCCCATGTTTAGAGATGAACACCATCTTCTGTTACCTAAGGAAACACCTCCTTCACCTTTGTAAAGTGAATATTAACCTAAATAGATGCTAAATCGCTCCCTTCCCCTGCGTCACTGGCCAGTTTCATTCCTCTCGGCAAGGCTGCTAACGCCTCTTGGTTCTCACACATGTGAGGACTACAATTTAAATGCATATAACCCTGTGCCTCATCCTCGGAGAATTTCCTGCAGACACCGTACAGCTATGAGGGAGCCTGTGAAACTTANGGTTCTCACACATGTGAGGACTACAATTTAAATGCATATAACCCTGTGCCTCATCCTCGGAGAATTTCCTGCAGACACCGTACAGCTATGAGAGAGCCTTTGAAACTTAGAGAGGCTCCTCTGCATTCTAACACACACACACACACACACACACACACACACACACTCAGAGTAAATCCAAAAGAGCAATTCAACCCTGCTTTCCAGTTAACACCGGGCAGCAGAGTGCTTGGCTGCAAAGGCAGGCTTCCCTTTGCCACATGGGGGCCTCTCTCAAAGGCAATGACAAAGGAACTTCTCTCACTGCAGCTCTTCAATTACTAACTGGTAACACCAGGCGACTGAAATAAGAGGTGCTGTTTAATACACATGCAGCTACTAGAAAAGATACAGTATGGTAATGCCCAACACAACTGGAGGACAACAGATATGCATTCCAAATACCACTAACCACATCAGCCTAAAAGGCAAGAAAATTAGCCACAGTGATTTACCAAATTGACATCACTCCAGAAAACATTTTTATTTTAAGTTTTATTTTTTTTTGCAAAATCATCTTTGAAATATAAGGTTATTTTAAAATAATTCTTTGGTTAAAGTGTAATTAAAAAGTAGAAGCTCCAAGAAGCCCTTCTCTGCAGGGTGAGAAACACCTCCCTCTTTCAGCCATCAGATGGGCACTTAATCAGCCATTCGGTCTATGAATCTCAATGTAATGGAAAACTCTTCAGAACTGCAAACTCGGGCGAGCAATAAAGCTCCTAAGGAGATGGAGATGAGAGCCTGGGAACAGGAAACTCTGCTTCTGCATTAAAATGTGCCAATTACTCCTGTCCTCCGAGGGGCAGGTGTGGCATTTTAAATCCATAGAAACCAAGGTCCCATCTATGACTAGCACTGGGGTGTCAGACAGCACTTCTGTGCAAGCAGCAAAATGCTTCAGACTTTCAACCTGACTAAATCCTTTAGTTAATGTCCTCTCAGTTTGTCTCAGATAACTTTCAACATTAAAATAAAAACTCCTCTCTGCAGGAAACCATTTGGTTTTTATCTGGCATTTCCTTCTCCCTGCCCCTCAACCCCCCTTAATCAACATTTGTTCTTAATAATCATCAGGCTCAGATAAAAATAACCAGCCTGAACTTCAGGTTGTAGTATCAAGAACTAGAATTTTGGGTGAATATGAAATCATGTCTCATTTATTACACATAAATTCAACATGATTTCCAAAGAAGTTCTCATTTGGAATTAAAGTTTAGTTGTTTAAGTAGGTAAATGTGAAAAGAGAATTTAATGTGAATTCAGATATTCAGGCCATTTAAAAAAAACCTGGATAATTAAAGCAGAGGACTTACTCAGGGATTTCCACCTCAAATGTTCAGAAAATGATTTCAGATCTGGGCCTCCTTTGACTCATGCAGACAGTAGCCTCAGGCTCTGTCCACACTGAACTAAGGACAATGTATGCAGCCCAGCTAAACTGGCTGGGTCCTCACAGGACCAAGACCACCCCGAGGAAGGGAGAGGGTATCTGGTGTCCGTGTAAGAACAGACACAGCCCAGGACATAGGGCTGTTACCGCCCGGGACATCGCATGCGAAGTGTTCAAGCACTATCCTGAGCGCTGAACGCAGAACCTAGCATTACTCATGTGCAGAATGTAATACACAATATAAACCGGACCCAACGCGGGTCCACTTCCTTACGGATAAAAGAATGAATGGCAGCAACGTTACATTAACTGTAAAGTGATGTTTCTCTTACAACCTTTCCCAAGCTCTGGCCGGGCGGCTCAGCTGGTGGAGCGCCGTGCCGCACACCCAAAGGCTGCCGGCTTGGACCCCCGGTCGGGTGTGTACACGCGGCAACCAATCCGTGCTTCTCTCGCACATCGACGTCTCTCTCTCCCTTCTTCTCTCTAAAGTAAATGAAAAATATACATCCTCGGTAAGGATAGAGAGAATCCTTTAATGAGAGCATTTTACCAAATGAAGGTCAAAACATTTAGATTAATCAATGATGTCAGCAGAATTACTCCTATGCTCAGAAGCTGTCTGTGAAATGCTAGAAGAAATGAGGATTTGCTTCTTAGAATGTAAAATTCATGACATATTTAAGTGTCTTCAAAATCCCCATTGTAATCCTCTTGCTGTCTGGCAAACACAGCCAGCGCCCTTCCACTCGCTCTTCTTTCTAGGGGCCATCAAATTCCCGTTTCAAACAGGCACACGGACCTGTGTTACACAGCGCGGGGCCTGGGGCTTGTGCGGGCCTACAGTGTGAGCTGTCGGCTTCACACCGATGTTCCAAGGGCACAGGGCCCCTCCAGCGCCACACTCAGCAGCCACACACCACACGGGCGTTCATGACTGATGTTTTGGCTTGTCATTCATTTTTTCAAATAAACTCCCTCTAAATTCAGGAAGCAGGTGTGAAGAGAAACCACAGGATATGGTTCTCCCAACTTTCCTTCAGTAGCCCTACCTATATATTTAAAATTATTATAGAAAAACAAACAAATTGACAGCACAAGTAGCAGTGCAATCGTGACTGCCGTCATTTAAATTAGTTCCCTGACTTCGTGCATTCACCCTGGTGTGAGGATGCAGCTGTGAATGTCCTGGTGACTGGCAGGTGCTGGGTGGAGGTGGGCCGCAGCCTGGCCTTGGTGCGGTTGGTAGATGCTCGCATTACACGAGAGTGAGCTTTTCCTGCCTCAAATAACTCATGGAACATACATCATTTCAGAACGTCAACTTCCTTAACTAGTTACCACAGTCAGGCTTGAGGGCCAAGGACAAGTGACCAGGCAATTCAGATGGATGATTCAGTCACTTTATATTTTGAAAATTCTTTGCTCCTACAATTGAATACTTCACACATTTATTTTCCTCCTGAGTACCCAAAAGTGCTTCAGAGAGCAAAAGTGCTTTGTCTTCCCTTTCACAGACAGAGGCAAGGGGGCAGGGCCGCTGCGCAGTGGGAGCCAGCTGCTCTGCGACGGGCTGCACCCAAGCGACCAGCACCCGCGCGCACGACCTTGTGACAGGGGCCTGGAGCCAGCAGCACTGGTGGTCGTGGGACATGCAGCTTAAAAACAACTCTGCAGGGCATGAGGCTTTCTGATAACCTGAAAAGAATCCTTCAGCTTGGCTTTGCCTAACTGGAACATGGAGTTAAAAAGAAAATCCCATCACCAAACTGGCAGCTCAGTGTCCCTCCAGCTGGCTTCTGGACGTGCTCCTTCCTTCCTCCCTCCTGCATCCTCCCTCGGGGGGCTGGCACCTCCCCTTGGGAGACTCCGGGCCTTGGCCACGCATGGACGGAAGGAAGGACACATCCTCTGCCTTGGCTGGTGCCTCGACAGAGGAAGACAATTCTCGAAAGCCCTGTTAGCTAGGTAAGAGTCCAGAGAGAAAGAATTTTATCCCTGAATCAAGTTTTTTTTCTTACGTACACAGTCTCATCACAAGAATTTAAAGCATGAAAGGAAGTATGCTAAATTATCTGAGCTGCCGCTTATAATGTGGTGCAGACTTTCACTGTTACTCAGCACACAAAGTCACTTCTCCCAGAGGCTTTCTAAGGCTTTCCCCCTCTTCATCGGGGTGGTTCACTCTTGCAGCAAGGTCTCTCTCCAGTTGAAGCCCCCTGTTGGTCCATGGGTAAGAGGAAGGATGGGTGGATCTGTCAGCTGCCATATTCCAGTTTCTCCCAATTCTTCACAGGAACAAAACCCCAAGTATGGAATCTGAAGAGTAATAAAGAAAGGAAAACAGAAAACAGAGGTTTAATGCTTCAACTTTTACCTATACACAGAGATCCTTGAGAATAAGGAATATTCAAAGCAATTAACAGGGGCTTTGTAGACAAGCATCCCCCCAAACCCATAAAGAAAATGAAATGGAAAAAGCTGGTAACTTAGAGGGAAGAGCATTTACACTGCAACGGGAGTCACTGGACGATCTGTTAGGCGGTGATGAGCTCCTCCAGTGCAATTAGCTGTTCACAGCTTGCTGCTTTGTAGTGTGGCCGGGAAAGAGCACAATATAGAAAGTGAGGTGCTGGGAGTTAAGTGCTAATTACAAGTCAAGCCAAAAATGCAGCTCAAACATTTCTGAAATTATAGTCGACATTGGGACACTTTTGAGAAGCTGTTAATCTGTCCCACCCAGCCTCACTGACTTACTTCCATGTGTGTCTGGGACGTTCAGAGTTGAGGCTGTGCCCTTCCTAACTTCAGTGTCCATGGCATTTCACAGCTTATCTGTGTGCGTGTCCAGAGCTGCACTTATAAGCAAGACAACAATCTCTGCCCTTAAGTAGCTTCCAGAGCAATGGAAAGACAGACGCAGAAATAGGCTTTTACAAAATGAGAAGAGACTTGCAATTGAGTTTGAAGAAGGTTCTCTGGGGCACGGAGGAGCACATGTCACCTGGAGGGAAGCGTGTGGGAGGGTGGCCGGCAGGCGAGAGGAGGATCCAGGCAGCCTCCTGGCTTTTCTGTCTCACTGCCCTGCTCCCCGTTTGCCTTTCAGACTCACATTTTAAATCGCTGCTTCCCATGGCCGACCAGTCAGGCCCCGCTTCTAGCTGAGCTGTCAGATGCTGTGTTCTGGCCACACACTGCTCTCCATCCGACCCCGTCCCTCAGGGAAAGCCAGACAATCTGCTTGTTTTTAGCTTCTCCCTACATTTTAGCTCAGAAACTAGAAGCAGGCCAAACTTGCCTTTTTCTCTCACACAAGGCCCAATAAAGTGCCCTACACAGGGCACCATTGGGACATCTTGGGCGGGTGAGTCAGTAAATGCATCTCCCGGCTCAGAGAACGTGCCTCAAAGAACGGCCACCAGCCAGCCGCTGAACGATTCTGAAATTACCAGGCACCACGGGCCCGAGTGGAGGCATGATTACCTTTCGGACCATCTGTACGAAGTCCTTGGAGTTCTGAGGTGACAGGCCCTGCAGCTGGCAGGTACATGCTTCAAGGGAAGACGCATGGGCCACAAACAAGATGTTATTTCCTGGGGGAAAGAAGCAAGAGCCGGGAAGACTATTTCTATAAAGACATACATACACTTTGTCAACACCGAAGCCAGTGTTCGGGGGAGAGGCACACATTCTCAGGGAGACGATGTGGCCAAACAATATTCTGAAAATGCTTTGTGTTGTTGAGGCAACCTAATGTCATTTTAAAAAACACTTTAATCTTAAAATAGTTATAGATTCATAGGAGGTTACCAATGTAGAATACATGTATATATAAAATTATTGCTGAGCTTTGCACAGCATGGGTTCGAACCCTGCGGATCCACTTATATGCAAATTTTTTCATGAAATACTGTAAGTGTATGATCTCTTCCTTAGAATTTTCTTAATAACTTTCTTTTTTCTATTTTACTCCATTGTAAGAACATGGTATATAACACATAAAACAAACAAAATATGTATTAGACGACTGTTCAGTAAGGCTGCCAGTCAACAGTGGGCTATTAATGGAGTTCTGGGCGAGCTAAAAGCTCTAGGTGGATTTCCAGCCGCATGGAGGTTGACACCCTTAACTCCTGTTATTCAAGGTCAGCTTTACATAGAGTACATACACCACACACCTGTACATTATATATGCCTCACAGATCATGTTTATACACACACACGCACACATACATTTGCATACCGCGTGGGCCTGTACACAGGGTATGTACACTACACATACACGCACACGCACTCACACCAGGGTCCACGCACCCCTGCCAGCCTCCTCCCACGGCAACCTCTTGCCTACCTGCTACCTGGCCCTATCGGGAGGCGGGCGCTGACCCAGCCCACACAGCTTATATACGTTCCATCAGGTTTACTCAGTTCCATCACATGCGTAACTTTTGTAAACACCACCACATTCAAGACACAAAACTGTTCGTTGCCTACAGTGCTCTCTGCTACTCTTGATCTGGTTTTCAGTGTTGCCCCCGTGGACCGTGAGCACTGACAGTGCTCTCTGGTTGGCAGAACACGCTTCGTAGCTTCATGGTAGGATCACCGAAGAGGTGACGAAGCGAGTGCTTCAGGAGTGATACGGAAAGCTGGGGACCATCCATAATACTGCTGACCAGGGGTGCCCACTGTTAACATTTCAGTTTATAATTCCAGGCTTTGCTCTACAGATACACACTGACCGGGGAGGGGTGTCCACTGTTAACATTTCGCTGTATAATTTCAGTCTTTGCTCTATAAAGATACATATTTTAACTTGAAAAAAGCAATCAGAATGTATACACTCTTCTGTAACTTGCCTTTTTTACTACATATTTTATAGTGAACAGTTTGACATATTATTAAATATTTGAGTTCAATGTTTATAAAATCCAAGAGCAAACAGACTTGAGTCCTACAGAGCACCTCTTGGCTGGCGGTAGCAGTGGCAGGGGCTGTGCTTGCATAGGTGTATTTGTGGGGGTGCTCACGCTCCTGGTCCAGTTACAGAAAAGACCACGGTCCGCTAAAGAGCTCCGAGGGTGCACCGGGAGCCTCCGCCACAGCGCAGCACGAACGGCTGGCCCGCAGACGCTAAGCAACTTCGTACGGAAACCGAGCTGGCGGGTTCCTGGGATGCCTGCTGAGTCAGGTGCTCAAGGGAATATGAAGTTTAACATGAAAGCACCTACAGGAGAGTCCGGGAATGTTTTTTATTTATTAAGTAAGCTGAAACATCTTGACTAGCCTATTAACCATGATGGAGAAATGGTCACATTTAAATATGGAGTCTAAAATAATACCACTTACCTTTTTTACATTCACTTATTATTTCTTTTGTTACTTGGAAACTTCTGTTGATATAAGTGTCGTAGGATTCTGAAACCGCTAATTTGCTGACTGGAATGTGAGGTCTGTAATAGAAAAGTGAACAAAGGCAATAAAACATTCTGATCCTAAGACAAAGCAACCGATATTACTCTTAACTTCTATTTCAAGAGCCTTCCAAAATTCCCATAATTCCGTTTATCCATCTCCCTAGAAAGAAAGGAGGCAGAGTATTCCCACTACCTAGACGTGCCCTGGATGCACAGAAATAAAGGCTGTGGGTGCACAGGGCCACAGTGACCAGTTCAAAGTGAAACACTCACTGCAGGCTTCACCTGCACGATTATTTACAAGCAGTTTGACTAATTTTACTGACCATCAGCCCCAAGCCACACAGCCAATAGGAGGCAAAGCGGAGGTTCGATTTCATTGTCTATTTAGAACACCAGATATTTGCTAAGCCTCTCTTCGGTGGCCTTACAAACAATAATCCGCAAGGACGGGATTATTTTTTTATAATTTTGTCCCAGCTTTACCGGGGTACGCTGACATGGAGCCCTGCGTAAGGTCAGGGCGTAGGCCGCTGGTCTGATGCGCATGTGCTGGAAAAGGGTGATCGCCACAGCCTTAGCGAACGTGTCCATCATGTGACGTATCACTTCTGTTCTTCGTGGTGAGGACACGTAAGATGTACTCTCCTAGCAACTTTAAAGTATATAATATACTCTTATTAACTATAATCACCTTACGGTTACATACACTAGATCCCCAGAACATGCTGGCTTTATAACTGGTCGGCTGTACCCCCCGGCGACCCTCTCATTTCCCCGAGTCCCTGGTGACCAACGCGCTGTCGTCTGTTTCTCGGAGTTGGGTTTTTGTAGATTCCACATAAATGATATGTGCAGATGTCTCTTTGAGATCCTGCTTTCATTTCCTTTAGACATATAACCAGAGGTAGGACTGCTGGATCATATCGTGGCTCTATTTTTAATTTCTTGAGAAACCTCCATTCTGTTTTCCACAGGGGACACCAATGTACAATTCCAAGAATACTGCAAAAAGTTTCCTTCTTCGTCACGTTCTTGCCAACAGCGGATAGCTTTTGCATTTTGATGATAGCCATTCTAACGTGTGAGGTTTTGATTTGCATTTCTCTGATTAGTGATGTTAAGCACATTAGTGATGTACAAGCACCATGTCCTTGTGAGCTATTTGTATGTCTTCTTTGAAAAAATACCTATTCAGTCCTTCCGTCAATTTTTTAAATTTAAATTTTATTTTTCAATGAGTACATATTCATTATTATTTTGTATTGGTTTCAGGTGTACAGCACAGTGGTCAGACAATCACATATTTTAAAAGTGACCCCCCAATATTTCCGGTGCCTTCCCGGCACCATGCGGAGTCGTTACAGCAGTAGACTGGATCCCTGTGCTGTGCTTGACAGCCCGTGACTGCTTCGTAACTGCCACTTATCCTGCCTGCAGCCTTCACCTTTCCCACCCAGCTCCCAACCCACCTCTCCTCTGGCAACCATCAGGCCTCCCTCTGTATCTATGAGTCTCTATTTTGTTTGTTCATTTATTCTGTTCTTCGGATGTCACATGTAAGTGGAACCGTCTGGTATTGGTCTTTTTCTGAATTCTCTCACTTAGCGTAATACTCGCTAGGGCCATCGAGACCGTCAAAACGGTAAGACTTCGTTCTCTGTTAAGTCATAGTCCACTGCAGGCACGAACCACCTCCTTTAGCAGCCGTCCGACGGGCACTGGGGCGGCTTCCGCACCCGGGCTCCTGTCCGCACCGCATGAACACCGGGCGCGTATATTCTTTAGAACGAGCGTCTTGAGTTTCTTCAAATATATGCCCAGGAGTGGGATCTCTGGATCTAAGGCAGTTCCACTTTTAATTTTTTAAGGACCTTCCACACTGTTTTCTTTTTTTTAAATCCTCACCCTGAGATATTTTCTTCGATTGCTTCTCAGGGAGTGTGGAAGGAGCAGAGAGAGACACCGACGTGAGAGACACACTGACTGGTTGTCTCTGCTCTCTCCCCTGCTGGGGTGGAGCCGAAACCGGAGTATATGGCTTTGGCTGGAATCGAACCCGGGACCCTTCAGTCCGTCGGCCGGCATTCTAACCACTGAGCGAACTGGCCAGAGCCCTCCATGCTGTTTCCACAGTGGCTCCACTAGTCCCATCCCAACGGTGCACCAGGGCCCCCTTTTCTCCGCACCCTGGCCAGCACTTGTTGTTTGTGGATTTATAGCCATTCTGACAGGTGTGAGGTGCCATCTCATTGTCATTTTAATTTGCATCTCTGATGATTGGTGACACTGAGCATCTTTTCATAGTCTACTGGCCATCTGTATGTCCCCTTCGGAGAAGTGTGTATTCAGTATCTGCCCATTTTGTAATTGGATTGTTTTTCCTTTCTTTTTTTGGTATTGAGTTGTATGAGTTCTTTATAAACTTTGGATATCAACCCCCTATCCAATGTATCATTGGTGAATATCTTCTCCTATTAAATAGGTTGTCTTTTTTCCTTTCCAAATAAGCAGGATTGTTTCCTTTGCTATGCAAAAACATTTTAGTTTGATGTAGTCCCAATTGTTTATTTTTTCCTTTGTTTCCCTTACTCAGGAGATATATCAGAAAAAAATAATGCTAAAAGAAATGTCAGAGATTTTACTGACTCTGTTTTAGTCTAAAAGTTTTATGGTTTACTATCTTACTTGTAAGTCTTTTAAAATCTATTTTGAGTTTATTCTTGCAAATGGTGTAAGAAGATGGTCTAGTTTCATTTTTTTGCAGGTATCTGTCCAATTTTCCCAACATCATTTGTGGAATACATTGTCTTTACCCGTTTGCATGTCCTGGCCTCCTTTGTCAAATACTAATTGACCATATAGGTAGGCGTGGGTTTATTTCTGGGCTCTCCATTCTGTTCCTCTGATCTCTATGTCTGTTTTCAGGCCAGTACTATGCTGTTTTGATTACTATGAACTTGTAGCATACAGTGTGATACCTGCACGTTTGTTCCTCTTTCTCAAGGCTGCCGAGGCTATTTGGGGTCTTTTGTGGCTCCACATAAATTTTTGGATTATTTGTTCTAGTTCTGTGAAAAAAACCATTGTCCTTTAGATCAAAATAACATTGACTCTATATGTTGCCTTGGGTAGTATGGACATTTTAATGATGTTAATTCTTCCAATCCATGAGCCTGGTATGTGCTTTCATTTATATCTTCAATTTTTTTTTCATAGTCTCATAAATTTCTGAATATAAGTCATTTAGCTCCTTGGTTAAATTTATTCCTAGGTATTTTATTGGTGTGAGGCAACTGTAAATGAGTTTGTTTTCTTAGTTTCCCTTTCTGATAGTTCATTATTAGTGTATGAAAATGAAACCGACTTCTGAATATTTATGTTGAATCCTGCTACTCTGTGGAATTCATTTACAGGTTCTAGTAATTTTTTGATGAAATCTTTAGGGTTCTATATATACAGTATCATGTCACCTGCAAATGATGGCAGTTTTACTTCCTCCTTTCCAATTTGGATGCATTTTATTTCTTCTTGTCTGATCACTGTGGCTCGTCCTTCCAGCACTGTGTTGAATAAGGGTGGTGAAAGCGAACACCCGTCTTGTGCCTGATCTTAAGGGAAATGCTTTTAGCTTTTCTCTGCTGAGTATGATGGTGGCTGTGGGTCTGTCATATTGGCTCTTATTACGTTCCTGCTATTCCAACTTTGCTGAGTTTTTATCATCAATGGGAGCTGGGTTTTGTCAAATGCTGTTTCTGCACCTAGTGATGTGCTCATGTGGTCTTTGTCCTGCACTTCGCGGATGTGACGCATCATGATTGATCTGTGGGGACTCTGCCAGCCTTGCACCCCAGGAATCAATCCCACTTGGTCTTAGTGAATGGCCTATTTAATGTATTGCTGAACTTGGTTTGCTAATACTCTGTTGAGGATTTCTGCATCTATAGGCCTATAATTGTCTTTCTTTATAGTGTCTTTATCTGGTTTTGGAAGCAGGATAATGCTGGCTCCGTAAAATGAGGCTGGGAGACTTCCATCCTCTTGAAATGTTTGGAATAGTTTGAGGACAGGTGTTGGCTCTTCTTTCTTTGGTAAAATTCAACTGTGAAGGCATCTGGTCCAGGACTTTTGTTGTTGGTAGATTTTTTATTACTGTTCCAATTTTTGTTGATTATCATCAGTCCATTCAAATTTTTTCTTCTTCTTGACTCAGTCTTGGGAGATTGCATGTTTCTGGGAATTTATCCACTTTTTCCAGATTGTCCAATTTGTTGGCATATAGTTGTTTGTAATATTTTAGTTCTCCTCTTTCATTTATGGTTTTATTTGGATCCTCTCCCTTTTTCCTTGATGAGTCTGGTTAAAGGTGTATCAATCTCGTTTATCTTTTCCAACAACCAGCTCTTATTGTCATTGATCTCTTGTATTTTCTTTAGATTCTCTTTCATTTATGTTCACTCTGATATTTAATATTTCTTTCCCTCACTAACTTTGGGCTTTGTTTGTTGTTTTTCTAGTTCCTTTAGGTGTTAGGTTAGATTGCATATTTGAGATTTTTCTTGTGTGTTTTTTCGGTAGGCCTGTATTGCTATGAATTTCCCTCTGAGGACTGCTTTTGTTGTGTCCCATAGATTTGGGGTTGTTGTGTTTTCATTTTCATTTGTCCCAAGGTATCTTTTGATTTCTTCCTTAATCTCATTGTTAACGTATTAATTTTTTTAGTAACCTGTTATTTAGCCACCATGTGGTTGTGTATTTTTTACTTTTTGTCTTTTGATTTCAAGTTTTATACCACTGTGTCCAGAGAAGATGCTTGATATGATGCCAATCTTCTTAAATTTACTGAGATTTGTTGTGTCCTAACATGTAGTCTATCCTGGAAAATGTTGCATGTCCCCTTGAAAAGAATGTATATTCTGCTGCTTTGGGGTGTAATGCTCTGAAAATGTCAATTAAGTCCACCTGGTCTAGTGTGTCATTTAAGGTCACCATTTCCTTGTTGATTTTCTGCCTGGAAGATCTATCCATTGATGTCT